AGCCCGCCTGCACCGCGCCATGGCCCCGCGCGCCCCGAGGCGCGGCCCGCTGCCCCGGCTGCTGGCGCTGTGCGTGCTGCTCGCCTCGCTGCAGGTAAGGAGCGCGCGAGGGACGGACACTTGGGGCCGCCGCGAGTCCGGACACTTGGGGCCGCCGCGTCCTCGTTCCTCCGCCCGTCCACGCGCGAGCCGAGCCTTGCGGGGGAGGGAAGGACAGTGGAAACCTGGAGTTTGGGGGCGGTTACCACAGCTGGAGTGCTGGGGGAGGGAAGGGCTAGTGGAGGAGTACTGGGGCGCAGAGGCAAGGTGGACGGGACCCCAAGGCCGGGACGTGGCCTTTTCCAGATGCCCCACTTCGTCGCAGCCGCCCTGCACCCCCTTGATCGCCTACTAAGCGCCTACAGCAAAGAGCTGTTGTGGGAACGCAGCAGTAGAGACCCGGCTCCTGCCTCCTGCCGTGGCCGACAGATTCCTACCGCTCTTGCTGGGGCACTGCTTTCAGACCCGGGTTTCCCGCGGGAGTGCTGGGTCTGACTCGGGCTTCGCACCCTTCCCTGTCTCACTTGCCTCTTCACCTGAACAGTAGAGCAATCCCCCGGGGTGGGTGGGGGTATGCGGAGTTTAGATAGAGACAGAATTGGGAAATTTCTGAAAGGAGGACCAGTCTTTTTTTAATGCCCTTTATCCCCCACCCCCACCCCTTTCGGCTCTCCCCAGAGTTTAAGATCTGCCAATTCAGGTTCTGTCCTGGACTAACCATAGAGCCCCTTCTCAGAAACCCTCTGACCATGTTCAGGTAAAATATTTTTCGCAGTCGGAGAAACCAAGGTAGGATAAAATGTTTCGAGCCAGTATTGGTGTCAGAAATAGCCTTCTCTCTCTGTGATCTCAGCCTGGGACTGTGTGGGGACTGCATAGGAATCCACAGCGCGGTCGAGGCTAACCTCACTGAGGCCAAAGCCTGCCTGGAGCTCTCAAGCCTGGGATGCACCGGGGCTCCCCAGGTCCAGCTGCAGTTCCCTGAAAGAGGCAAAACAGTTCTGGAGAAACCACCTCCCAGGCAGTCAATGTTCCAGGGAGAGCGCTGATTCCCTGGATCCCTGGAGCTCAGGGACCATCCCTGCCCTTGTGCTTAGGAGCACCTCATGGGAAAGTTTCAGTCCCATTACATTTTGCTGGACGCAAAGTTCTTACAGTCTTGTTAACCAGGACTCTCGGAAGATCAGGCAGTACAATCACAATTAAAGGAAGCCAGATAGTGATTTTCTGCCCTGGAGGAGAGAGCTCTGTAATGTGGCAGACCCAGTTCTCCAAATACTGTACTATAAAAATAATTTATACTTCAGAGGTCCTCAGAGGAAAGGGTCAGTGTTGTCGGTTTTCTTGGTTTCAGCAGTTTCACATTTCTCCTCTCCTAAAACTGACTTGAGCATCTGCTAGCACTCCTGGGCACCAGAGCGCCAAGGCCTGAAAAGTGGAGGTGCACTTGGAGATTTAACCCTATTTGGGGAGAAAAGAGGGGCAACCCAGTCCATGGGAAAGCCTTCATGAAAGTAGTGGGAACATGCTGAAGGCTGAAGTAGAAAATTCTGGTGCAAGTTCTTTCTACTTCAGTCCTAGTTTTATGGGTCTTGTAGAACAGTTTCAGGGGAAAGAAGGTGAAAAAGCTGAGTGGAACTATGCATTTTAAGCATTTCAGGTGTTGCTTAATTAAGTGTTTAACAGGTTGAACCGGGTGCTAGCTTACTTGAACTAGAGGAGTAAGGCCACCATGAACAGTTAGCCACCTAAGAAACACCTGCCAGACCACACCATCCATAAAGAATCTCATGCTTTTGCAAAAACTACATATGTGTATGGGGTGTATTTGGTTCTAATATTAATAGCAAGTGTTATCAAAACAGACTTATTTTTCAGAATAACCAAAGACTGCTATTTATCTTCTATCTTTAAGCCACATTTAGTATGTGCATTTTTGTGACAAGAGACTATATATACTGCTAAACAGCAAGTTAGAATTCAAGTGACAGTACATTAATACATTGAGCATTAATTGTGTGATTTGAAATCATATATAATCTTTTTAATGAATTTGATTGTTGCAGGGTCTCACTGTGCAACTTGGACTTGTGGTGATCCTCCTGCTCTCAGCCTCCCCAGCGCTGGGATTATAGGCTTATGCTACTATGCTGGACTCTGCTGGCATAGCATGTGGTACTGGGGATAGAACCATGGTCCCAGCACTTGCCTAAAATTGCCTAAGCAGGTGCTTTAGTCCGCTGAGCTATCTCTCCAGCCCCATATGTAATCTTCTGCATTGTTAGTCAAATCAAATGACACTGGGATGCTTTTCTGATTGTTGTTTGTGACCAGCCTCTCCAGTGAAAATCCATACTGTCTAAAAGTGGTGCTCAAAGTAGTATTAAAATAACATCCTCAAAAGATATGTTTATAGCCAGGGAGATAGTTCAGTGGCATAAGCGTCTGTCTGGCAAGTACAAGGTCCTAAGTTCGATCCCTGGTGCCACAAAAAAAAAAAAAAAAAAGACATGCTTACAAACGTTCTCGGTCCAGTTACTACTGCTTTGGCCAACCTACTCTGTTAATTCAAAATGTGGAAATTGCACGGGCAACTCTGCATGTCATTAGTGACCACAGTTAGGAAACTGCTCAGGAAATGCTGAGTCAGGGAATTGATTGTGCAGAAGAGTTGACTTCTAGAAAACACATTAAGTGTGTAGTTAATGTCACTTGTGCAACATTGAATAGATTCAACATGATGTGGTGGCACATGCCTGTAATCCCAGCTGCCGAGGAGAATGAGATAGGAAGAACTCAACAACAGGCCAGCTTGGGCAATTTAGAGACCCAGTCATCATCATCAAAATAGCAATCAGAATAATAACAATAATAATAATAATGGCTGAGGATGTCGTTCAATGGTAAAGCACTTGCTTGCTTTCCATTCTCAAGGCTCAGAGTTAAAAAGAAAAGGTAAAATGGTAATTTTAAAAAAGGCTTTGTATAGAAGCCTGTAAACTTGGCCTTTAAAACTTTTCTGTGATTTATAGCTCTGTCTGCCTGTATTAGAGATTGAACTGGTTTTTAGATGTAGTAAGAGTTTTTCCTCTTAAAAGTTTTGAGTTTTTACATTGATAGTCCTTCTGATCATTCCAGGTATGAAAATAAAGATGCATATTTATTGCTAAGGTCAAGGGTAATGCACAGCCAGGCTTTTCTCAGGTTATCTAAGACTTAAGGCCAAATGCCTTTATCTTCATGACAACAAACACTTACGGTGTGCAAAACATTATGCTCATGAGAAACAGGGTGAAGGCATAGTTTCATCTTCACAGGTCACTGTCTAGTGGAAAGGATGAGAGGGGTAAAGTTTAATAAAAGCAGCACTGTAGAGTGTAGAGGTGGTGGAGGAATGGAGGGAGGACAAGCAGCTGCAGGAATCAGGAGGTCTGTCAGAGGAAGAGGTTCCCTAGTGGTCTTTGAAGGATGGGTAGGAAACTACAGGTCACAGAAGAAATGATTCCAAGAGGTGGTAGGGAGGAAAGCTTTCTGGGTCAAGAGGCTGGTGTGAGTGGTTAAGATAGAAAGGAATCTTGCCAGCAAAGAAACCACATATGTTTATAATCTTACAGATAGTACACAGCACCCAGTTCAGGAAACCCCACCAAACAGATGAGGCATTAAAGTTTTATAGTTTTGAGATAAGTCTGTATGGCCCTTACTGAGTTTGTAAGGTAGGCTGAGAAGCAGAGCGGGCACACATGCCTGGAAAGACCTGTGGGGCAAGCCCTCAGAGGAAATCCCCTGGGGTGGTGCTGGAGGTTATAGGGTAGGTAGGTGCTCTGTGATGACTTTCTTCCTGCCACCCCTTAACATCCTGAAGGCAGGTCTAGTATAGAGACTAGGATAGAAGATATCTCAAATGAGGTACTTTGAGAACACAGGCACATACTTCAGCAGGCTTTTAGTCCACTTTGTTGATAAATATATAACTCCCTGTTATTTCCTTTCCACACCCCCAACCAATGGCAAATCAGTGATAGGAACATATTCTCTTTGTTGATAAGGACCTGTGAACTTGCCTTTTCAGCTATCTACAGTGGTCCATACACCAGGAAAACTGAAATAATAAAGTAGTATCTCTGAAGGTCAATAAATCAGTGTTTTATGAGGCCATGACAAGGGGAGTTCCAACCTGCCCTCCTTTGCAAAAAGTGTTGTTTGAAGAAGGTGTAGTGTGAACTTTATCTGCCATGTCAGTATTAAAAATTTTCCCTCATTGCAGTTTCCTATTTTTGGAGAACATGGGAAAAAATTAGAGTGGTTCCCATATGGTATGTCCTGCAGATTCTAGGTGTTATGTCTCTGCTCTTTTTGTTCACCTCCCGCATATGAATCTGCATCCTGCTGTGATGGTCCTCAGCAACCCCACGGGTTCACAACACAGGTGAGCATAGCCAGCTTTTTGGCCTGCCTAGGCTGCAGTGAGTGGAGAGGAGTTGTTCCGGGTCACATGTGAAATGTGTAGTATCATTAGCCTGTAGAAGTAACAAAATTTCCTTTCTTACAATTGTTATTATGACATTTTAAAAAGGGAGGGCAAATGACCTGTGTTGTCAAGGCTGGAGACATATGCTAGGGCAACTACCCACTGGCCAGGTCCCCACCCCAGGAGAACTGGTGGTCTGTCTGCTGTCTCCTACAATTCCTGGCCCGGTTCTACAGGGAGCCTCACCTGCCCTTCAGCACATGCAGCTCACTGCTCCGCCTCCAAGCACCCTGGTTTGGCTGGTGGTGACAGATGGTTTTTCCTTGGAGCACCTTTCCCTCCCCTTCCTGATTTATAGGAAGTCATTTGCATTTATTTCCCTTCAGGTTATTATAGATACATAGGCTTTCTTGAGTATCTGCTGCTAGAAATACTGGGTTCAGCTTATCCCAACCTCGCCTACCTGAAGAACCAAGAAGGAAGAGTAGGCTTCAGCCAGTAGGTGTGGTCCCTCCAAAATCACAGAGAGCTTTTGAGCATGAAAGCCACATGGGTGTTGAGGGAGGTTACACTCATCCGCGTCT